GGATCTCTGAGCCTGTAGCCATGTGGCTGAAATCTCCCAACCTTCTAAAGGTTGTCGACCTGGAGAAAATTGATGCAATAGAAAAGACCCTGAATTATTAGAAGAAATCAGCCCCAGCTTCATTCCACAGCTTTGGTAACCTCTATGCTGTTATTTGTTTTAAAAACAAGCATTTCAGGGAAAATTGAGTAGCTCAATCTATCTTTAACACGTGTTATTTCCACTTGGTTTTCTGCAAGATGGATTAAAGTGTGTGCGCCTCATGTAACTGGATTATGGAAAACCTACTGGGTTGATTCTGGTTTTGTACTTAACAGCTAGATTTGTTGGTGTCAAACATGGTTTGAATGTTTGTTCTATCTTTTGTTCTTTTTCCAAAGATCTGGATTTCCATCAAAAGCATGCTAGAATCACAAGAAAGTCTCTGCTTCATTAGTAGAGATTATTTAATAAAATCATAGAATGCAAGGTTGGAAGTGATCTTGCAGATCACATGATCAACCCTCTGCTCAGTGCAGGAATTCACTACTCCAGCATCCCCTACAGAAAATGCTAGAATGGGAGAGAAAAACTAGTTATTTCCATGCATTTATGGAACATAGTGTAGCCCATGATTCCTTGGCCCACCCATTCCCCTTTTTTCACTAGGTTGCAGATTATGAAGTTGTCCAATGTACTGTTTCACACACACACACACACACACACACACAAACATGATTTTTTGAAAAGTATATTAAGTCTATCTACTTTTGCTTTGTTCCTGCCAAACCTTGAGAGTAATTTGTGCCTTCTTTTGATGACATGCTTTTTATAAGTTCTAGGATCTATTAAAAAAGTTATTTCACAGGAATGCATGTTTTTAATTCAAAGAGAGAAAGATGACATCCACCCTACAAATGAAGAATTCCTAAGCAAAATGAGGATGAAGGACTGTTGACCTCCAAACAAAAATTATAATTAGAGACATCAAAAATAAAACTACCAGTCAAGTGATGGAAAAGAAGCCAATACTTACAAAATGATGTGGGGTTTTTTTTTGGGGGGGGGGGTTAAAAAAAAAATTGGAACCAAATATTAATGAATTTTCAATTAAAT